ATCCTGCTGCTGTATGGGTATTCGTATCTCGTCGCTGTGTCCGGACGTAGTGTTGGCGAACGGACTGTACGTGTGAGTCTCGATCTTGACGATGCGATCGTCGAAGATCGGCTTGTCCCTGACGTTCAGAATGTCGGTCGTCGTTCTCTGCGCACCGCGAATTCCAGAGATTTCAAAAACTCCACGTTTGACGCACTGAGCCTCTTCCTCTTCTTCTTTTCGACGCGTCCGGATGAACTGTCGAGTGATGACGTCACAGGCTTTGTAAAGGATACGTTATCTATCTGCTGATTCAACACGAGCATCTCACGCGCGCGCCCTATCGCTGTCGCCGTCTCACGTGCAATCTGACGGTGATCTGCTCCCCGCGAAAATCGATCGGTCGTCCGTTCTGATCGACGATGCATATCGTTAGATCCGTAACGCTCCGTGCGACGATCGGAAGGTAAATGATCTGCGTCGGCCTCTCCGACACCTTATATCCCGGTGGCACTTGCGGCGAAAATTCGTGTATCATGTGCACGCTGTTGCCGTTGTTGTACGCGCCCGCCGTCACGTTGCACTCCACGCGGATGATGTTCACGGTCATGATGTTGACCGACGCGTCCGACTGGTGCCATGTTCGCGGTTCCAGTACGCGCTTCGAGAATCCCAGCAGCGACCCGATGTTGTTGGGTTTGTAAAAGTTTATTCGGTAGGCGCACACGATCCCACATCTCATCGTGTTGTAGTTTGCGCGGCGCGCTATCGGGTACTCCGCATCCACGTCGTCTTCGTGGTCGTCGCGAAGTACGTCCATCGCGAAGTACGTCCATCGCATCTCCACGCACCGCGCCATCGAGCAGCGGACGTTTCCGCGAGATCGCGCGTTTCAGAAAGTCGTTTATGGCTCGCAGTTCGTACGAACCCTTGGGGATCGTGATTTCCTCGGCGTCGTTTCCAAATTAAAATTTGTCGTTGGATTCGTTCAAGTTCGGTATCGTGTTATAGGTCTCGAACATCGTCAGACCGAGCTCGTAGTCGTCGTCGCTCAGGTCTATCGCGGGAAAGTAGCAGGCCGCGAGGACGCTGCTCCTCCCGCTCAGCGTGAGTTTCAGCGTCATGACGGTTCGACGAGTACTGAGATCGCGCGACGTCTCGTCGGGCTTTTTAAAATTCGACGGTTCGTAGAAACCGCAGGAACATCTGTCCGCAAAAGGTCTGATCGTACGTCTGATACGACGTTCGATTGTACTCTATCGCGGTAGGAACGCCGAAGTATCGCACGAGTTCCTCGGGCGGTCGGAGATTGCCGAAACTGTCAAAGTACACGACGCGGTTGTTCCTCTTCGCGTACGCCCAGTGAGTACCTGGGCCCGTGGCATCGTCCAGATTCACGATACCGCTCTCGTTGCGGCGCGCACCGCTCGTCGGTAACGCGTTGCGCATGAAGACCCCCCTAAAGTACGGTAGCGCATACGTCTCGCGAGCCGGTCCAGTTGCACGTTGGTGGTTGCGCCCGTGGGCATTCTTATCGTTTCTTTGACGTTTTTTTTTTATTTCTCCTTTCTGTCCGTGTCCGCGTTTGTACGGGGCGAGATACAGCCCGCGTCCGTGTCTGTACGGGGCGATATACAGTCCGCGACATCAGTCGTCGTCCGTGCCTCGACCGAGACGAACATGGCTAGCGAGCGCGAAAAAATCGCGAGGGAGATCGAGCGGACGAGCGAGTCGATCCGTAGGAAACACCGCGCTCTGAAGACCGGTAGAATCGACGAGGACCGTGCGCTGGACAGGCGTTTCGGGCCTATCGTCGAGCCGTTGCGACGGATCGCCGGTCCCGTCACGACGGAGTCGTGTGACGCTGCCCCTAAACGCAAGAGGGAGGAGGAGGAGGAGGAGGACTTCTTCGTGACTCCGCGCACGCATTTCTTCGATCGAACGCTCCAGCCGATACCCTCAACACCCGCACTTGCGCGACCGTCTGAGTCGATCGACTCCGAGACGACGTACGCGACGCTCGCGCCGCCCGACCGAAATTCGGCGGGAGACTCGTCGCGAATTCACTCGGGTCCGCTGAGTCTGAGGTACGTCGAGCCTGTTCTGCGAGGACTCAACGACAACGGTACGGATCGCGTGTACGGCGCTTACTTGGACAAGGACGGATTGATGCTCGGCAGTAAGCGTTTCGATGTGGATAACGAGGATAACATAATTATCGATGGCGTGCGATACGCCGGTACACCCGGCCTTTACGAGCTGATTTTCAAGAGAATTCCCGACGATACGCTTCAAACGGAACAAGACATGCGCGAGTACAAGAGCATGCTGCAGGCGATGAACGCGCACAGATACAAGCACCATCCGCTGGGCCGAGTACTGGCCAACAGGGGATACAAGTACAGGAATATAATATAGCCGTTGGTCACGCTGAAGAAAAAATCTGGAAAAGGAGTACCTCGCGCCATGACGTTGAACGACGGCACGATCGAGTACGTGCACTGGGACGATCCCAACGAGCTGGTGGATCGTCTGCGGTTGCTCGACGCCTCGCATCGAGCGGGTAACGCCGCTCACGGCAACGAGATGCTGTCGATCATCGAGGAATTTCGCGAAGCGGGCGTTATTATAAATTGAGTCGCGTATCGACGATACAGTCGATCTCGCGCCATCGACTATCATTTATCTCCATGAACGTCGAGAGGCGCAGACTCGTCGAGGAGTTGCACGCTCCGGCGAGAAGAAATTTTCCGCGAAGACGCGTCGTGGTACGGGGATACGACGATCGTTGGCAGGCCGACATCGTCGAGATGCGGCCGTACTGGAGCCAGAACAGGGGCCGTCACTACGTGCTCACCGTTATCGACGTGCTGAGCAAGTATGCGTGGGCCGCGCCGCTCAGGAGCAAGGGCGGTAGCGAGACAGCCGACGCTATCGCGGGGATAATTCGCGAGAGCGGGAGATGCCCGAGGAACCTGCAAACGGATATGGGGAAGGAGTTTTACGACATGGATGTGCGGAAACTCTTGAAGAAGCGCAACATCCATCACTACTCCACGTACTCGACGCTAAAAGCGTCGGTGGTCGAGCGGTTCAATCGTACGTTGAAGAACGACATGTGGAAGATGTTTACGCTCAACGGCACGTACAAGTGGGTCGACGCGCTGCCGCGTCTCGTGTCGGATTACAACAAGCGCAAGCATCGCACCATCGGCATGCGACCTGCCGACGTGACTCCCGCTGTCGCCGAGAGACTCCTGGACACGGTGTACGGCGCGATAAAGATCGCCGGTCCCGCGAAGTTCAAAGTGGGCGACGCGGTACGCGTGAGCAAGTACAAGACGATCTTCGAGAAGGGTTACACGGCGAATTGGACCACGGAGGTGTTTCGAATCGTCAGAGTGCAGAGGACCAATCCCGTGACGTATCTCTTGGAGGATTACCGCGGCGAACCGGTAGCCGGAGGATTCTACGAACACGAGTTGCTTCGCGTCGCTAATCCGGACGTGTATCTGGTTGAAAAGGTGTTGCGCTAGAAGGGAGACAGGGTGTACGTCAAGTGGCTGGGATTCGACGGATCGCACAATTCGTGGATAAATAAACGAGATGTCGTGTGAATTAATTTTTTTTTTTTATTCGTATAAAATATATATCAATATATGTATATATCTAAAATAAATATATATACCATTATATCGTTGTCGTTCTTTATTCCTTTCAATAAGGCACACGAATGACGACAAACTCTCTGTAACGTTATAGGATACATACATGCGAGTACAAACTTAGTATAAAACTCAATACACATAAAAGTACAAGTCTAGGTACGAGTATAAGTAAAACTCAGTCAACCTCAATACATAACACTCGATACGTAAAACTCAATACGTCTAGGTATAGGTATAAGTATAAGTATAAACTCAATACATAACGCTCGATACGTAAACCTCAATACATAGTACTCGATACGTAAATAGTATATTATGCAATAAGTGCGCGAAGATAACTTTACCGCACTAGCGGCGAACGCTGCGCACGAGTCGCCGCAGGCGACGATGTAAGTGCGGTAACGTCGCGCACGAATTGCTTACGATATTTTATGCAATTTAGTGAGCAAGGTGTGCCTTCGCGCACGACTCATCACTTCGCGCGCGACTAACTACTTCACGCATACCAACCCCGTAAAATAAACTTCTCGACATTAAAATTAGTGCGCGAAGGCACACTTTGCGCACAGAATTGCATAAAACTCAATACATAATACTCAATACGTACGGTACGAGAAAACGCAATATAAAAAATACATAACACTCAATACGTCTAAGTATAGGTATGAGTATAAGTAAAACTCAATACATAAAAGTCTAAGTATAAGTATGGGTATGAGTATAAGTACAAGTATAAACTCATTACGTCTAAGTACGAGTATAGGTATGAGTATAGGTATAACGCAATATAAAAGATACATAAAACTCAATACGTCTAAGTATAGGTAAAACGCAATATAAAAGATACATAAAACTCAATACGTCTAAGTATAGGTAAAACGCAATATAAAAGATACATAAAACTCAATACGTCTAAGTATAGGTAAAACGCAATATAAAAGATACATAAAACTCAATACGTCTAAGTATAGGTAAAACGCAATATAAAAGATACATAAAACTCAATACGTCTAAGTATAGGTAAAACGCAATATAAAAGATACATAAAACTCAATACGTCTAAGTATAGGTAAAACGCAATATAAAAGTATAACATACGTAAAAGTATATGTACATAACACTCGATACGCGAGCTACACTACCGGTAATGCCCCCACGGTAAGGTGTTCGTCGAGTCCGGTACGACGTACCGTTTGTCGTCGTACGGACTCAGAGCGATCTTCTTCTCAGACACCGTGTACACCCGGTGTAACTTGGATCGCATGCACGCCTGCCTGCGCGTCATTTCGATGTCCTCCTTCAGGCACCGGGTGTAATCCTCGAACGATATCGTCCGCGCTACGACGCTGCTCTTCACCCCCTTCGCCTTCTTCGTGTTCCTCTTTCCATCCACATCTTCGCTCTGAGCCCGACGAACTCGGTCATGAAGGCGCCGTTGTTCTCGTCCTTCATGAGACCGAGCACCTTCTTGTTCGCGAGAGGCATACCGTACGCGTTGTTCGCGGGATAGTCGCCCGTGTCAAATCTGTCGATGTCGCGTTTCATTGTTTCGTACACGTCATCGCACTCTACATGGTAGATCAGACTGTCCGTGTCGGTGTACACGATCTTGCACCTATCGCGAAACAGCGGCGTCATGTACTCATGGTGAAACTCGTACAGGCACGTTTTCGAAATGTCCAGGATGCACATACCCATGTAGATAGGCTTGTCGAATTTCACCTCGAGTTTCCGCAATTCGACCGCTATCAGGTTCTCCGCGAAGACGCTGCGGCTGTGGAAATTCGGTTTCGCGATCAACGCCTCAGCACCGTACCGTCCTTCCCATGTCGTCACCAGTTTAACGTCGACGCGTTCGCGCACGTTCTCCATCGTCTTGCCTAACACCGCGTTGTTCATCAGTTTGTACAGGTTTTTCTCGAAATCTTTTTTCGCGCGCGTTCGAAACTGCGTGTTGAGTTCGATGGTCGCGGAGCCAGGCCGATTGCGCGAATCGCAACACTCGATGGATCTTCGTTACGCGAAGACCTTGACGCGTGCACTGTTGCAGGTTGCGATAGTGAACGACGTACCGCTGCTTATCGCTTACCGTCGCGAGAAGCTTGTAGTCCCGCTTGCCGGGCGGCTTCGCGCGCGTCGGGCAGAACGGCAGGTCGGCGTGCGCGTCGTGGAGACGCCGCGGATACTCGAGATCCACCTCGAGGATGTACCCGGTGGGCGAATCCAACGCGACGACAGTATAGTCGAAATTCTGCTCGTCGTCGACCCATGCAAAGTCGACGTGGGGCAACGGTTGGCACATCGCCCAGCCGTACAGGTTGTTGACGTCGTAATACATGAGGTACGACGACGGTTCCGACAGGTCGTACGCCTGCATGTACCTGTTATTGGCCCGCGCGTATCTGCCGGAACACTGGCTGAGACCGCCGCGTATGCCGCGCTCGACGAACATCACCATATCTATGTCTGTGAGTAATTCGAACTTCACGCTCGTGTGTTTAAGCATCGCGTCCCACGTGAAACCGGGCAGGGTGTAGTAATGCGCGGGATCGAGTCCGTAACTCGCGATGCAACTGTCTCGAAAGTTCTCAAACACATCGGCTAACAACAGGACGTCAGTTTTTAAGTAGAGATCACTGTACTCGCCGAGCGTTCGCACGGAGAACCGCTGCCACACGTTCTCGGCGTGCGCGTAATCGCTCTCGGACACTGTATCGCCCGTCAGCGATCTGTGGAACGATTCGCGCGGCGGCAAGCGCGTATCGTTCAGTCTCTCCACGCTGTCCACGTACTCGTAGGGAAACACCCCTTTACGAGTGAGCAGAAGTCTTCGTCCGATAGAGCCGAAAATTCGGAACGCACAATTTTCAGTTTATCCTTGTCGAGGTACGACGCCAATTTGACCCGCACTCAGAAACTTATACGAGTCTATGAATCGTAGTTTCACGCACTTTCGCGAATCTTTGTCACTGGTGTCATTGGTGTCTTTGACGTGTTTCGTGAAGGAAATGTACTTCTCCTTGGTCAGGGGAAGTAGATCCACTTGTCCCTGGAATTGCGTAGCTATTTCCTGTACGACGAAGTGCGCGTCGTTCCCCGACAGGTTGTGGAACACAACCGGAACGTACGGAGAGTCCTTGTAGTTCACGTTGCATCCCTTGTGCGCCGGACCGCGGTATCGCCTGGTGACGTAACAGTGGTCGCGCGCCCGCTCGTCACCCGGGGCGAACGGCCTCTCGCAGATGTGGCAGTGCGTCGCGCTGTCGAATCTCCGCCAGTCGTCGCGCGTAAAGTCCATGGGCCGGTTGGTCGTTATTATATTTTTCACGCGGTGCGCCAACGCCTCTAGCTGGCTCGCGAACAAACTAACGCAGTCGTTGCCCCGCCGACATCTGTACTCGGATAACGTGCTGTCGTACGAGCAGTGCACGTAATAAGCTGTACTGAACGCTTCGTGCCGCTGGTACGCGTACGACGACCCAGCAGCGTCTTCCGTCTTCTTCAGCACACACTCTAGGTCGGCGTATACCACGAACGGCGCCCGCTCCTTCCTGCAGTACTTGCGGAACTCCAGCCATTTGTCGTCTGTGCCCGGTAGGCGGATAGCGCACTCGTTCATTTTACCGCAGTCCACCGCATGACTCTCCAATTTTTCATTGGAGAAGTAGTGGAGGCATCTGAAACGACCATACACAATTATTATTATATTTACTACTGTTTCTTTTATTTTTTTCTTATACTTACCGGTCACAAATGTACTTTTGTCCATGATGTTTATTAATTTGCGTGCTGACGAGACGGGACAGATTTTTGATGCATGCGAAATGGCCGTCGCCGTCTTGCACGTACAATAAATTGACGTGTCTGCCCCTCTTGTAATCGGTGAGCCGCAGAGGGAATTCGTTCCCGTCCTCGATGCCGTACACGTTAATCGAGATATCGTTCGACCGCTCGAATTTCGCAACGTCCTTGAGCGTTACCGGAAACTCGATATCCGCGAAGTTAAGCACTTTGGAATAATGCGGATACGACGATTCACGATCCACATGATTGTACGCAGGGTACAAAGCAGCGACCACCGCCCACGCGAAGCACGTATTGTCCATGGATCGCACGTTGATCACTGCTTCCTTCCTTTTAAACTTTTCCGGCAATGTAACGCGACAATGACACCCCGCGCGCATGGGATTGAGTTTATTCACGTTAACCGTCAGGTTCAGAATACGCGAGAGCGCCCACCCGCTGTCGCGTTCCTGGTGCTCTTCGAGCGACGCCAACGTGGGCTCGATAACGCGCGACGCGTACCACTCGCGCAGATCGGTGCACCGATAGAGTTCACAGTTTTTGCCGTTTATCCCCATGACTGTGCGTTTGTCACCCGCGACGAACTCGCCGTTGAAGACGGTGTTCACCTTCACGCTACCATGTGTATCTATAGCGCCCCGCACACGCTCGAGCACTACACTTTCGGCGTCTTCGAGGAATTGTCGAGGCTCGATATGCCTGGAGTTTATAACCGCACCGGTCAGAACGCGATTGGTGAAAGCGGCGTCGATCTCGCGCCAAGCGAGAGATCTATCGTTCTCGCGTTCACCACCACCACCCACTCCATGGCCTACGTGCACGAACCGTTGTTCCAACACTGTTCGCGCACCCACGAGTCGCGCGATCCTCGCCACCGCGGATTGTCTGTGACCGACGGTGAGACGCGGACGCTTGGCGCGACACTCGAGGCTCTCGATGCACTCGTTGCACCGCTCCAACCACGCGAAACACTCGCTCAATGTAGCGACGCGACCGCAATGTTCGAGCAGTTCGCGTTCCGCATGCTCGTAGTCTTCCATTTTAGAAAAGAGAGTTATTCGGAGCACTTGCACGTTACTCGTTCGCACGTTTTGCAATATCGTTCAGCTTTTACAATGTCATACATATCCAGTACCTTGGTATTATACATGCCGGCTGTCCAACACTTATAGCACTGACATTCAAATTCACCACTATCCCTACCGCACTTGTCACGAAGTAGTTTCTGTATAGCAGGATTTCTTTCACGATTTACAAGGAGCATACGTATATCCCCTATCATCATCACTTCAGCTCTTGTACCGCTATACGTGTCCATTTCAATGCATCTACAATAACGATTAAGTTTCTTTGCAATATTCCGCAACAAATCATCTTCGGATGCACTGGTATTTTTCGTTTCACGATTCTTACACTCGTCTCGCAATCGCGTGTACGCGTCTTGTCGTGCGCGTAAGGACTTCCACCACCAAACGGGGCTTCCATTGATACTTACTCGTTTCACACCGCGATCACCGTCTATCTCACGATCGCGCAGTACCTGCACCGGCGATGTCGGTGCAAAATCGTCTTTACTCTGCGGATTTTCAAATATGTATTTAATGTTCCCTATTTGTAATTCATCATTTATTTCTCTTGCTTTGGGGTCTCGCACCCACTCCACTGGCACATTACACATGTTCTTACTGTTTTTCCATTACACTATGCAGATCGGACACACACACTGCACGGGAACACCAGACACATGAGTTTCAGGCAATTGGAGCACGTTCCAGCGCTGAGTACCTCGATGAAATCGGTATCGTGCTTCCTGATCAGCAGCATCGACCCAACTTCGGCATCGGCGATGTTGACCATGCACTCTGCACACAGGGCTAGCGCTCCGCCTGTAGAGTAGTAACACTGGATCTGGCAGTGTTTAACGCGAAAAACACCCAGTGCCCGGATTTGCGCGTCCGGGATAATTTTTCGCACACGATCGGTAGTGTTCTCAAGATCGCTGACGCATCCGGTACCTACGGATAACACGCTATCGTCGGAAGACTCGACGTCCATAACATCTTCGTCAACGTCCATAACGTCTTCGTCAACGTCCATCACTTTGTCACACACTGTGTATATTCGACTTTCACATTTAGACACTATCGGAGCGCGACACTTAATGAGGCGTACCGCGCTTCCGACTCGCTATTTATACCGTTT